TTTTAATCATGATTTGACATGAATAGGATAAGGTTTGACATGAATAGGATAAGAAGAAAGTGATGAGCATCATGGAACTTTCAAATGTGTAGATATATATAGAAAAATGTTAGGTGGTGTACAAGTTAAAAGTAATAATGTTTAGTTCTAATGTGTCTCTCCATTTTCTTTTTGTTATGATATGGTATGGTTACTCTTCAAGAATCTTGGTATGTCACCAATGAAGCAAGAAGGAGAAGATTGATTGATATGTTTCAACTTTGTTTTCTTTAATTCTCATAAAACAAATAATGTTTAACTAAACTGTTATTGGGCACCCCGAAATAACGACGATTGCATGTTTTCTTACATTTGTCACCACTAACTCTTGACAAAAAAACGTTCTGTAAGCTTTTAATGCATGTCTTCCCACATTGAATAGTAACAGACATAACTGAAAGCAAGCACTCAAGACCATTACAGATGAAGATCCTTGATGTTATCAAGGTTCATAAAAACACATTTATGAAAGCAATTCCTATATAACAAATCTCACCTCAAAGGAAATACACGAGCTACATTAAAAGTATACAGGCAACATACGATGTTCACTCGAAGCACTCTCGAAGCTCTCAAGAAAACTCACGATTATTTACTTACAATCATATTGTAATCTTTATATTTACGATACATTCAAAACGACGACGTCCCTGCTTGACGTCACTAGTGTATCGACGATCTTAAGTGTCGTCCGCGGTTTTTACCTCGATAGGGGTTTTTTTGCATCACCAAACTCCTGTGTTCTATTTATTTTCTTATAATTGTCGTGTGTTTAAGGAGGAATACGACCTTTAGTTGTTAAAGTTCCACATCAACCTTAAATTATTCTTATTAAATTATTTTTTGGCATAAAGAACATTCTGCTTCTCATGTCCTCATACATCCTCCCAAAATGGTAAAGCCAAGAAGAAAATTCTAACACATCACCCGTTCTTACCACCCCCTCTTATACGACCCAAACACTACCTACAACCCGATCCACACCACGTACGACTCAATTACAACCCATTCCACCATACCTCAACCCCACACCTACATTCCTCCACCCTCTCGTCCGAATCCCTCTCGGGCAATGACCACATGAAGCATGCATGACTTTTCTCCAAACCTAAACACCTTTTAAATCTTTTGGTCCCGATTCAACCTTCCCCTCTGCCATGTAATCCAAAAGATGCGTTATCTAACCCTAATTGTAAAGTTGCCATGATTGATGAATTTGATGCTCTTATTAGAAATAGGATGTGGGAACTAGTACCTCGCCCCCTAATGCTAATGTTATTCGTTCCATGTGGGTTTTTGGTCATAAAGCCAACTCTGATGGATCTCTTGAGTAGCACAAAGCTCATCTTGTTGGTGATGGCAGGTCTCAACAGATCAGAATTGATTGCACCGAGACATTTAGTCCAGTGGTAAACCTGCTATCATACGTATCGTTCTCAGCATTTCCTTCTCTAAGTATTGGAAAATTCATCAATTAGACATTAAAAATACATGTTTGCATGGTCAACCAAATGAAACCGTCTACATCCACCAACCTTTGGGTTTTCGTGATCAAAAGTATCTGGACTATGTCTGTCTACTTAATAAATCTCTTTTGGGACTCAAATAAGCTCATCGAGTATGAGCATTTTGTGACATACATATAATCCATCAGTTTCATATACAATTGTTGCGATCATCCTCTCTTTTCATTTATCGAAAAGGCCACAACATGAACAACCTACTTCTATATGTCGACGATATCACTACCTCTTCGGAGAGTCTTTGCAAGTTTATGATGTTTCTTCTTGCTACCGAGGTTGCTATGAAGTATCTTGGCCCCTTAAGCTCTTTCCTCGATATTGCCGTTACACGCGACTTTGGAGTTTGTTTTTATATAGGAGGAAGTATGCTCTTGAGATAATTGTGAAAGCATGTATGGCATCTTGTAAGCCGGTACCCAATCCCATGGAAACTTAGGCTAAGTTAGGTACCAATTCTGATACTCCTTTCACCGACCCAACCCATTATCGGAGCCTTGCTAGTGTTTTACAAAATCTTACCTCGACTTGGGCCGATATTACGTAGGCAGTTCAACAAGTCTGTCTCCATATGCATGACCCTAAAGAATCTAACATGATGGCTCTAAATCGAATTCTCCGCAACCTTCAAGGTACACTCGAGTTCAGTCTACATCTTTACAGAACATCTATCACCAGCCTTGTTTCTTTCACCAACGATGATTGGGGAGCATGTTCGGTCACCCAACACCCTACAAGCGGCTATTGCTTTTTTCTTAGCGACAACCTATGCTCGTGGTTCTTTAAATGGAAACCCATGTTCTCTTGGTCCAACATCGAGGTCAAATACCAGGGGGTTGTTAATGTTTTCTCTAAATCATGTTGGCTTAGAAACCTCTACTAGAACTACATTGCCGCATCTCAAAAGCCACCATGGTCTACTGTAATGTCAGTGCCACCTATCTTTTAGCAATCCCGTAGAGATGGATATCCATTTTGTATTGGATTACACTGCTCGTGGTCAAGTTCGGGTTCTACATATACCTTCCCGACACCAAATCGCTGACATCTTCACCAAAGGTCTTCCATGTCTTCTCTTTGATAACTTTCAAGACAATCTCAACATCCCCCCTCCCCCACTTCGACTGTGAAGGTATGTTATAATATCTATGTATATTTAGAATATATTTTCTTTATGATCATGTGTATATCTCTAGTATATTCTTCTAGATTAGTTGGGATCATTGCCTATTCTCTAAGGTTATATA